CCTGTCCGTGATGTACCACATTTAGAGCTAGGTCCTGTCCGTGATGTACCACATTTAGAGCTAGGTCCTGTCCGTGATGTACCACATTTAGAGCTACGGTAGGTTCTCTCCGTGATGTTCCACATTTAGAGCTACGGTAGGTCCTGTTCGTGATGTACCACATTTAGGGCTAGGGCCTGTCCGTGATGTACCACATTTAGAGCTAGGGCCTGTCCGTGATGTACCACATTTAGAGCTATCTGCTGTCCGTGATGTACCACATTTAGAGCTATCTGCTGTCCGTGATGTACCACATTTAGAGCTATCTGCTGTCCGTGATGTACCACATTTAGAGCTACGGTAGGGCCTCTCCGTGATGTTCCACATTTAGAGCTACGGTAGGTCCTGTTCGTGATGTCCCACATTTAGAGCTAGGTCCTGTCCGTGATGGACCACATTTAGAGCTACGGTAGGTCCTGTTCGTGATGTGCCACATTTAGAGCTAGGTCCTGTCCGTGATGGACCACATTTAGAGCTACGGTAGGTCCTGTTCGTGATCTACCACATTTAGAGCTAGGTCCTGTCCGTGATGTACAACATTTAGAGCTAGGTCCTGTCTCCTGTCCGTGATGTACCACATTTAGAGCTAGGTACTGTCTGTGATGTACCACATTTAGAGCTACTGTAGGTCCTGTTCATGATGTACCACATTTAGAGCTACGGTAGGTTCTGTCCGTGATGTACCACATTTAGAGCTATCTGCTGTCCGTGATGTACCACATTTAGAGCTATCTGCTGTCCGTGATGTACCACATTTAGAGCTACGGTAGGTCCTGTCCGTGATGTACCACATTTAGAGCTAGGTCCTATCCGTGATGTACCACATTTAGAGCTACGGTAGGTCTTGTCCGTGATGTACCACATTTAGAGCTAGGTCCTGTCTGTGATGTACCACATTTAGAGCTACGGTAAGTCCTGTCTGTGATGTACCACATTTAGAGCTACTGTAGGTCCTGTTCATGATGTACCACATTTAGAGCTACGGTAGGTCCTGTCCGTGATGGACCACATTTAGAGCTACGGTAGGTCCTGTCCGTGGTGTACCACATTTAGAGCTAGGTCCTGTTCGTGATGTACCTCATTTAGAGCTACGGTAGGTCGTGTCCGTGATGTACCACATTTAGAGCTAGGTCCTGTTCATGATGTACCACATTTAGAGCTACGGTAGGTCCTGTCAGTGATGTACCACATTTAGAGCTAGGTCCTGTCCGTGCTGTACCACATTTAGAGCTACGGTAGGTCCTGTCAGTGATGTACCACATTTAGAGCTAGGTCCTGTCCGTGCTGTACCACATTTAGAGCTAGGTCCTGTCTGTGATGTACCAGATTTAGAGCTACGGTAAGTCCTGTCTGTGATGTACCGCATTTAGAGCTACTGTAGGTCCTGTTCATGATGTACCACATTCAGAGCTACGGTAGGTCCTGTCCGTGATGTACCAAATTTAGAGCTAGGTCCTGTCCGTGATGTACCACATTTAGAGCTAAGGCAGGTCCTGTCCGTGATGTACCACATTTAGAGCTAGGGTAGGTCCTTTCGGTGATGTACCACATTTAGAGCTACGGTAGGTCCTGTCCGCGATGTACCACATTTAGAGCTAGGTCCTGTCCATGATGTACCACATTTAGAGCTAGGTCCTGTCCGTGCTGTACCACATTTAGAGCTAGGTCCTGTCTGTGATGTGCCACATTTAGAGCTACGGTAGGTCCTGTCCGTGGTGTACCACATTTAGAGCTAGGTCCTGTCTGTGATGTACCAGATTTAGAGCTACGGTAAGTCCTGTCTGTGATGTACCGCATTTAGAGCTACTGTAGGTCCTGTTCATGATGTACCTCATTTAGAGCTACGGTAGGTCCTGTCAGTGATGTACCACATTTAGAGCTAGGTCCTGTCCGTGCTGTACCACATTTAGAGCTACGGTAGGTCCTGTCTGTGATGTACCACATTTAGAGCTAGGTCGTGTCCGTGATGTACCACATTTAGAGCTAGGTCCTGTTCATGATGTACCACATTTAGAGCTACGGTAGGCCCTGTCCGTGATGTCCCACATTTAGAGCTACGGTAGGTCCTGTCCGTGGTGTACCACATTTAGAGCTAGGTCCTGTTCGTGATGTACCTCATTTAGAGCTACGGTAGGTCCTGTCAGTGATGTACCACATTTAGAGCTACGGTAGGTCCTGTCTGTGATGTACCACATTTAGAGCTAGGTCATGTCCGTGATGTACCACATTTAGAGCTACGGTAGGGCCTGGCCGTGATGTACCACATTTTCTGCATAGAAAACCCTAATGTTGCTCCGGTCTCCTTGTTATCCTATTAACATACCCACACTGTCTCCAAGCCTGCAGTTTGCCAAGACGTGTCCAAGACACCAGGGAAATGATACCATGATATGTCATGATGTACCACATTTAGAGCTAGGTCCTGTCCGTGATGTTCCACATTTAGAGCTATGGTAGGGCCTGTTCGTGATGTACCACATTTAGAGCTAGGTCATGTCCGTGATGTACCACATTTAGAGCTACGGTAGGGCCTGTCCGTGATGTACCACATTTAGAGCTAAGGCAGGTCCTGTCCGTGATGTACCACATTTAGAGCTGCGGTAGGGCCTGTCCGTGATGTACCACATTTAGAGCTAAGGCAGGTCCTGTCCGTGATGTACCACATTTAGAGCTACTGTAGGTCCTGTTCATGATGTACCTCATTTAGAGCTACGGTAGGTCCTGTCAGTGATGTACCACATTTAGAGCTACGGTAGGTCCTGTTCGTGATGTACCACATTTAGAGCTAGGTCCTGTCTCCTGTCCGTGATGTACCACATTTAGAGCTAGGATAGGTCCTGTCCGTGATGTACCACATTTAGAGCTGCGGTAGGGCCTGTCCGTGATGTACCACATTTAGAGCTAGGTCCTGTCTCCTGTCCGTGATGTACCACATTTAGAGCTAGGGGAGGTCCTGTCCGTGATGTACCACATTTAGAGCTGCGGTAGGGCCTGTCCGTGATGTACCACATTTAGAGCTAGGTCCTGTTCATGATGTACCACATTTAGAGCTACGGTAGGCCCTGTCCGTGATGTCCCACATTTAGAGCTACGGTAGGTCCTGTCCGTGCTGTACCACATTTAGAGCTAGGTCCTGTCTGTGATGTGCCACATTTAGAGCTACGGTAGGTCCTGTCCGTGCTGTACCACATTTAGAGCTAGGTCCTGTCTGTGATGTACCACAATTAGAGCTACGGTAGGTCCTGTCAGTGATGTACCACATTTAGAGCTAGGTCCTGTCCGTGCTGTACCACATTTAGAGCTACGGTAGGTCCTGTCTGTGATGTACCACATTTAGAGCTACTGTAGGTCCTGTTCATGATGTACCACATTTAGATCTACGGTAGGTCCTGTCCGTGATGTACCACATTTAGAGCTGCGGTAGGGCCTGTCCGTGATGTACCACATTTAGAGCTAGGTTCTGTCCATGATGTACCACATTTAGAGTAGAGCTAGGTCCTGTCTGTGATGTACCACATTTAGAGCTACTGTAGGTCCCGTCCGTGATGTACCACATTTTGAGCTAGGTCCTGTCCGTGATGTACCACATTTAGAGCTACTGTAGGTCCCGTCCGTGATGTACCACATTTTGAGCTAGGTCCTGTCCGTGATGTACCACATTTAGAGCTAGGGTAGGTCCTTTCTGTGATGTACCACATTTAGAGCTACGGTAGGTCCTGTCCGTGATGTACCACATTTTCTGCATAGAAAACCCTAATGTTGCTCCGGTCTCCTTTTTATCCTATTAACATACCCACACTGTCTCCAAGCCTGCAGTTTGCCAAGACGTGTCCAAGACACCAGGGAAATGATACCATGATATGTCAGAATAAACTATACTCTATTGGCTGGTGTGTCAAGCTTCATGGTGACCCAGGAATGTCAAGGTCATACAAAACTTTCAATCATCTCATAATTTAATTTACTAGTCTAGTCGATGATAGCTTATTGGGATTTCTCATGTAATGAAAACCCAATACGAGATCAGGTTTTCTTCACTAACTGGACTTATCCCCACTGACTGTGGTGAGATGAGTATAGATGGTGATCATCTGTGTGGAAAACAGGTCCTTCTTACATCCCAAAGTTGCCTGATAGATTTTCCATGGACAATAGGCCTGGACAGGCTGGTAATTCTGTTACCCTTGTGATTAGGTAGGAGGTGTACCTAAATGATCTTATATTAACCATTGTCACATTCCTATGTAGCCTCCAAGTTTGTCTACACCTTCGTGACTTGGACTTTTTTTGATAGACAGAGAACTGTAATGGCACACGCTGTATATACATGCATGTGGTCAGGTTCTCCAATATGAATGAGCTTAGACAATTAGCCAGAAATCAAAAGCAGTTGGTTAAATGCATTCAAACACCACTATCAAGAAACTTCAATTATGCAGACATGCATCATACTTCACCCGCCAGTGTCCTATTCCATTACCTTACATGTGATGCAGCTTCCAAAGGCTTAAGATAGGTGTGGCTGAGGTGCATGCAAATCTGTTGAATTTCTGGCTTGATATTCAAGATAGGTCAAAGTCCTGACCTTTGATTTGTTGAGACAATTTTTCAAGTTCTAACTTCACCCTGAAAAATAACCTTTTACTGCCATGATCAAGTGTTGTTATTTTTTTTCTGCCCAAAAGCAAATGCTCCCTAACTTTTTGTTTTGAGGAGCATAAAAATCCTGACTCTTGTTTTGTAGGGGGGATATCATCAACACCTGTAGTACTGACATTAATCCTGAGTGCTATCCAATGTGTCCTCTAAAGAGCTAACATTCCGATGTGTCATTTTTAAGAGGTAACCTCTGCCTGACCTTGAGGAAATAGTTGCCCCATTTTAAAATTGGATATGGTTTATGTTGTCTATCGCTGTGATGTAGTACTGCAAATAACACGATTCTTTTATTGCCATTGTAGCACACCAAAGACGAAACTTTGTGCGGACAAACGAGGTCGCACCAGTCATCATACGTGATTGTAGAGAAGAGTTCCAACATGTCTCGGACTTCAAGGATCCTATTGTGTTTGGTTCCATTGCCGACAACATGCCTGAACATCCACTCATCAAAGTAAGTCATTTCTTAAAATAGATGTTGGTGTCATTGTAACGTTGACAGGGGAGATCGATGTCCTGTGGTCATCTATCACCAGGCTTTCATTCACTCGGTTATTAATGAACTATTAACTTTATCGGTACCTGATTTTATTTCACATACAAATTTATTTTGAAGCTATTCTATTTGAATGTAAATATCTGAAAAAAAGTAAACAAATTTCAGATCAAATTTAAATTGAAGAAGAAAAACTTAAAATATATATATTGAATAATCATTTTGATCTCCTCCCTTATCATATTGACGGGGGATATCTAAAGGTTCTGTCCAACTGGCCATTTGTCTGTGCATCCATCCGCCAAGAAGCATTTCCAGAACATTTCCGGCTTAAACCCAAAAACCATTCAAGATGACTTTGTGAAACGCTGTATGCACATCATTCCAGTAGTCTAGTACTATAGTGCCTTTTGGTATTAGGGGGTTTTCATTTTCGATATTTTTCCTATTCACATTGAAAGAAATAGCCAGAAGTGCAGAATGGTCGTTTTGGAGCATATCTCAAAAATCTTTCAAGATAACTTCGTCAAAGTGTATATGCACACAAATCCAGTAGTGTAGTCGTTCGTGCCTGTAGCTATCAGTCAGTTTTTGTTCTCAATATTTTCTTGTTACCAAACAAATTTACGTCAAAATGCAAACTTTGTTGTTTCTAGAACATGTGTCCAAAACCATTCAAAATAACATATGCAGAACTTTCAATTCATCAAACTGCTGGCACAATGATAATGTTATTATTTTAATTTATATTATTTATAATTTCATGACTGCATTTAAAAATATATGTAAATTACAATATCACAGTTGGGGCTTTCACTCAATCCATATCCCTATACCTACAGCTATATAAGCAGCTTCATGTTGTCCCATTTATCAGGAATCTACATCAGTATGTTCTCTTACATGTACCTCAATCTTAAATGTCTTTAATTGGTAAATTACATGGTTTCAAACCATGGTTGACCATGGTAAATCATGACTAGTCACAACTGTACAACCTGATGGTTTCACAATCTGGTAATCAGGGTCAACCATGGTTACAACAACTTGTCAAACCATTGCATAAACCATAGTTGAACTGATGCCATGGTCAACCCATGCTGTTACCATGATCAAACAATGGGCATCTATTGCTTTTGAACATTAACCATGATTAACTACAGTCACTCAATTACCTGGGTGATTTGGTAATATCTTTTTGTCACACATCCCTCTATCATATCTGTCTCCCGCCGTCAACCCCTGAAATTTGGATTGTCTATCACAGTTTTCTCTCGACAGCGGATCTGAATGACTATGTCCTTATTTATTATATTTTGAATGTGAAATCTGAACTACAAGGACTTACGTAGCTTTCCATTAAGAGTAGATTCCCATTAAGAGGAGATTCCCATTAGATTCCCATTATGAGTAGATTCCCATTATGAGTAGATTCCCATTATGAGTAGATTCCCATTAAGAGTAGATTCCCATAATGAGTAGATTCCCATTA